TTTTGTAACTTCATAGGCGTTAAAACGGCGACAATTCCCGTTTTTGAGCGTTAAAACGCACTATTACTCTAGAACTTAAAAATAATACGTTTTAACGCTCCAAAATTGGAGTTTTCGCCGTTTTAACGCCCATGAAGTTACAAAAAACGCCAATAAACGCGTTTTCGTGCGTTCTTTTAATGAGCGTTAATGGCTTACAATCGCGGTTCCCGATTGTGCGTTTAAACGCGTTTTTCAAAATTTTTGTCTGGCTGGGAAGGAACACGCGGAGGACTATTGCATGTAGTTTTTTTCTACGATAGTATGCATTTAACTCAAATTCAATTAGTGATTTCAATAGCCAATGAAGTTTTCTATCAAACTCAATTCATACAACTATTCGAACTAAAGTTAAATGCTTAGCATTGAAGAAAAAAAAAATCAACAATATCTTCTAATTATCTCTTTCTAATATTAAAAATTATAGACCGCAAACAGATGCCCTTCTCGATTTATTTGATTTTTTAATTAAGTATTTTCAAGTCTATCAATAATATGAATTTAAATAAATACCTGAGACAATAAATTTACTGATCCAATTACAACCATTTGCTCGATCAACAAATTTAGCAACAAGATCAAAGCAACAATCACGACCAATAGCTGAACTCGTTTTATCATCAATTAATTCATTAAGCATACGAAATATATTATTAATAAATTCAATTACAGATTGATCTAGATTTAAAACAAAAGTATCACTATTGAATACTAACAAAAACAAAAAATCGAAACTAAATACCGAAGTTAAATGGTACATTTGTAGGTTTGTGAATTTTTCGACGATTTTCAAGATCACATATTGACATAATCATATTATGAACTAAAATAGCTGTACTTGCAGGAATTTCTGTATCATTCATTCCTAAACAGCGAGCAATTAATTGTAGGCCAAGTTTATTATAAATCATTTCAGCCTAGAAAAAAAAAAAGATGACATGTATACATTTTTTTATAGGCATTTTCAGTAGAAAACTTTCCATGATAAATTATGATTCAATAATTATGAATTATGCAAGACAATCGTTAACAAAAAAATGAGCTTAATGAATAATATAAGTGTTTCTAAGAGTCTTATTCTTGTATAGATCTATGACCAAAATGATTGAAATCTAGCATACATAATTCAATATCTCGTGGAGGAAATATTCTAAGGTCTAGAGATCATTGTTCTTTTAGATTTTTTAACACTTCACTGAAGTCTACCTTATGCACAGAATCCGAACTCAAAAATAATGTTGAGAAGGTTTCCTCGTAAGTACCTTTTAATAATATTAGATTCTGTTTCGTCTATCGAAAATTCTCGAGACTATATGTATCTTCCATTATATTTTTTGCCACTTTTTAATTTCAATTCATTTTAGAAAACAAATAAATAACAAAGAATGCTGAAGAAAAAGCTGTTAGTTCAATCATTAAGGGATTAAAATGTGAAAGACGACGTAGCTGCTGTTGCTAATAACAAGCAGATAGTTTACAATCAATTAAATGACTATTCAATTTTTAACCAAGTATACCATATGTACAATTAGTCAACTTTGAATTCAAAAACGATATATTCTATATTCTCTTATATAATTCTTACTCGTCTATATGAATTTCTGACAATCGAACCCAATACTCTTATAATACCAAGAACAGTAATTTGTTCGTTTGTTTGAATAAATTCCTTTATTTGTTGTAGATCACAATCATAAGCAAGAATTCCTTCTGCACCAGCATCTTCACGTGATATGATAAGAAGATTATTCAATGCCTTAAAGAAAAAAAAACTATAATAATTATTTAAAGACATATCTTATGTAATACATACTGTTTCTTGATTAGATTTTGTATTCATAGCTTCAAACATCTGTTGAATTTGAGATGTTAATTGTGTTTGTTGTGTATGCTTTAGAAAATGAAAATAAGAATTTGAAAAACAAAAACGTATAAATTATGATTTTATTTATTATATTTAATACTTTGCTTTGTGCACTTTCACGTAATTTTCTTAAAAGAGTATTTGTTTGTTCATCAGTTGAACTACCTTTTGATGATATTGATATTAAACGTTGTGCATCTGATATAGCTTCATGTAATTTTCCTAAATGTTCAAATGCGGTTGATCGACGATATAGAGATTTTTGATCAGCAGGTGTATATTCAAGTGCTAAAATTTTCAAAAGATATAAGAAAAAAAAAAATAATAATAATTTCTTTACCTCGTGTAGCATCTTCAATAGCGTCTTCATATTGATTTAAATTAATATAACATTGTGAACGATTACTATAACATTTTGTTAATTCATTTTTAATTGTTTCAGATAATGGAAGATTAGTTAGTAGATTTAATGCTTCCGTATATTGATCAATTGCATCTTGAAATTTACCTTGTTTAAATGCTTGATTACCTTGTTCACGAAGATCTCCCGCATTATTATTATTAGAAGTTGTAGTCATATTTTATATCTGAAAATAAAGGAATATTTAAAAAAATAAACAAACAAAAGTATCTGTAAAAACCTAAAAAGAGTCTATTAAAGGATTTTCACTACAAGAAAGATCACCATCTTGATATGTTAGATATGTTATTTTATTTTCGGAAAATACAATAGACTTTAAAAGATATAATTCAAATTGAATATCATATTTATCATACGAATAGAAACAAAAGAACAAAAAAAAAATGTATGATTCATGAATGAATCATGAAATTCTGGTGAATACGAACTTCATACCTTATTAAAATATATCAATGATAGGAAAAGTTTAGTTATCACTGAAAAAGTAATGAGCAATGTTTTTTTGTGTAATTATGTTCAATGGATTTTATCCGTGCATACCGATGTTTTCTTCGATATTCAAATTAATTACCGACTATTATCAAGATTGAGATTCATTATTCTATATCGATTTTAAATTAGCAGAATGAAATATTTCTACTTTGTGCGTTAATTATTGTAGCATTCGTTAGTCAAATAATATTATGACAGATAAAATTTGATATAATGACTTTTGCAGACGATATTGATGTTAAGACAAATATCATCATTAGCCATATAAAAGATGACTAATAGTATTTCAAGATAAACTAACAAAAAACTAGAATCAATATTTTTTTTATTGGCTAGTACTGATTTCTATACTATCTAAGGACAAACTCTTATTTAATATAGTAATGAACAGAAGTTTATTGGTTCAAGTTAAAATTTTGTACGTTCCTTTAAATTAACAAATTATCTCACCTTTAATAACTTAAATATCCAATTGCTTCTTTATACTATTGATTTTTTTGTTATGGTCAATGGATATTGTCGATCAATTGTAAATTCGTTTGCTGAATGTTGTCATTGTTTGGTTATGTTATGAACATTATTCTTCAGCACATTGACTTGATTTCGCTTGACTTGTCGACCAATGTGAAGATATTTGCCTATTTCAAACATTTCTAAGGTGATAATCTTTTTTTTTTCGCCTGTTTTATTTGTCATTTTGTTTGTTTGTTCGGTATATAACTTACGCATCATTTCATCATCTAGATGAGAAATATCACACATTATTTCGCAATTGATTATTCAAGTTGTTTTTCCTCCTTTTATCGGAAATAGAAAATCTTCAGAAATAAAAAAAAAAAAAAACAATCCATATTTATTTGTTGATCATAATTAAATGAAGAAAATTCATAAAACTAATTGAATAAGAGAAAAATAATAAATTAATCAAAGATTTTCTATTTTCTTTGATCAATTTAAACATGTTAATAGTAATCCTTAACTGACAATGACAAAATTTTTTCAACAACAAGAAATTGTTTAATGATATAAAAGAATAAAATAATTTTTTTTTGTTATTAAAGAAATAAAAAGATGATGTTCTCGTTAAAAACACTCCGAATGTTTGTCATCCCTGTGTATACTAACATTATTATTTTGTATTCAACAAATTTCATATTATTTGTATACTTCGATTTGCAATGATAGATAATACCAAGAAATCTACTATACAGAATGTTCCAAAGAAAAATATTTACTCTTTTAACAATAACGTCTTTTTCTATAATGTAACCCTTTATAATAGCTTCGACAAAGTCTTCCGAAAGCTGAAAACTATCGAATCGGATTTTTAAAAGCTTTACTATCATAGTTCATCTATGAAATCTTGGTATAAAATACATTAGATAGAAAACTATATATTGACTATTATAACCACTATGTGGATTTGAGCTAATTGCTTAGCATTATAGAAAAGCACGTTTTTTTGTTAAAATTTTTTTCATCACTTTGCAGGTTAGGAAAATTTACTAAACAGAGATGTTTTTATTTTTTGAAAATGGTTGATCACAGCTGTAAAGATATACTCTAACTCTTATTAACCATTACTTTTGAATTAAAATTTAGTATAATAATAGAACTAGTGGTATACTCGCTATGGAAAAAAAACTTTCATGTCTGTAGTAGAGCCTATCGGGTTCGTACCGGACTCGGTTGGTTTAAGTTTTAAAATTTTGGTTCCAATACACTCTAGTCTAATATGCAGCATATAATTGATCATAACAAACTCGTTCAATACGAATAATAGATTGCAGCTACATCCAATATGGTTTCTAATATCGTAGTAGAAGGCTGTATACTATAAGATAAGATGATTGATTATATTAGAATTAAATGAATGTTAATTAATTAATTAAAATTATGAGCGAGTGTACGAAGTGAAATATTCGAATTTCAAGGTATTTCCAATCTTACTATACATATTCAAAAGCAATTTAATAATAGATAGAATTTTGTGGCGATTACCCGTATATTTATTCATAAAGATAGCTTGAACTTTTTCATAAAATTACTTTTGAATGTGTATAATAAAATTGTAAATATCTTGAAATTTGAATATTTAGGTCTGTGCATTCTATGATCAAACTCTTTAATTTGAAATATACAAATTTTACATTTTTAAAAATATTTTACTATTGCTTTTCTATATTAGATAATTCCAAATGATGAATAAGTACGACAATCAAATTTACATTACATCATTTTTCAGTTAAACTTTTTTAACTATTAAAATTATATTTTTTTTTTCTAATTTTTCTGCCATCTATCGTTTTAAAATTGCCTAAGAATTCTTATAATTTAACTATAAATACTATTAAAAATTAATTTTATTCAAACTTACACCATCACAGATAATAATTTAAGTAAAAAAATAAATAATAAATAAATAAAAATGAAAGCAAGTGACCAATCAGAATAATCGATGTCAAATAAACATATTTATATATTGATTCATTCAATCAATCATTTTAAATCAATTCATAATGGCTACTTCATTTACATTTATTAATGATATTATTCGTGATTATTTTCAATATCGTAATTTAACATCTGCATCACGAATATTTGATAATGAATTATCAAAATTACCATTTGAAAAATATCGTGCTGATCGTATTATTGAACAATTAACAGTTTATATTCATCAATTTGATATAAATAATTTAATGGATTATTGGACACAAATCGAACAACATCTTTTATCAACATTAACAATTGATTCTCAACAATTAATAGATATATTTACAAAAATTCGTATTAATTTATATCGTTGTTATTTAATTCATGCAATTAAGTCATCTAAAACAGATAAAATAAATGAATTTTTTGATCGTTTAACAAAGTTTTTACAACAAACAAATGAGTGGACTAAAGAATGGTTTGCATTACCCTTTATTAAAAATCCCGAAGAAAATTCTATGTTTCAAATTTATTTTTCTAAACAATGGAATGAACTTTTTTGGATTTCATTACAAAATTTTTTATCTCTAGCGCTCCATCAGTAAGTCAAATATTAAAAAGAAAAGACCTTTATTTTCTGTTTTTTTTTTCTACAGTATGTCTCTACCTAAAATCTGTTCAATGGAAGAAGATAAATCTCAATCATTCAGATATTTAATTAGTCTACAATCAACAAAACCATTAATTCTATCAACTACTGTAAATATAACAAAATTGCGTTAGGATATTTCAAATAAGATTCTAAATAAAATGAAGAAATACAAGTTGCTTCCGATAGGAAATCAATGGAATTTGAACGCAATATTTGACTAACATGTTGCTTTTTTTGTCGATGAGAAATAGCTAGAAATTACCGAAAGAATTTGGAATACTCTTCCTAATGAAGGAAGGTTTTCAAATGTTAAATCATTTTTCAGTCAAGACCATGTGCATCATGTATGTTCTAATGAGTTATGAAGATCTCTGGAAAACATTCCGGCTATTAGTTAATAACTGCCGAGATATTTCATTTTTACGGAATTTTTCGAAACATGATCTTAAAGAAGTATTGAAGTATATGTGTACAAATTTGGATTCACGTTCCCACAGAACATGATAAATGTTGCTAACATATGATTAAAGACTGTATTTTAATGGCGTCTCCTTATAATGCATCAACTAGTTTGTTATTGTATTTCTGGAAGACTAAGTAAAGCCATGGTGAAGAAGTGTGTCCCTAAATACCGAATAAAGCAATCTCTTTTCGTAATTAGCAACGGTAGCTAAATCGTGTATGACATTTTAATCCTGCATAGATTATAATAAAGGCTGTGAAAGTTTCAGATTTGTTGATTGCTCTTACGAGGTAACATATGTAAGTGTAAAATCGCTTTTGAGTCAAGACTATGCGCATCATGTAGGCGTTAGTGAGTCTAGAAGAAACCCAAAAGAACAAGGGCTGCTAGGTCTATCTTTCCGAGTTATGACCATTTTATTGAATTTTTTACCCTGTGCAAGGTACTTCGAGGCAAATCGAAAGAAGGAATTTTGAGCTGAAATTTTGCCCATAAGTAGGCCTAATGATTCCTAGAATGTCCTGAAAGTTTCAGCCAAAATGAATGTTCTCTTCTTAAGATATTCAATTTTTTT